GTCCACACCTTTGTACGGTAACACCATCTTGTGTGACAAACTCTTTATAAAAGGGTACGTGTAATCCCGTCACAAATATTGTTATTGAATACAGCGTCCACAATTATTGGGCTGAACGTCCAGGGCTATTTAAAGTTGGGAGCGTTGTGATAATTAGCACGACAAATGACTGTCGAAAATAGTCAACAGTCTGCGGAGGCTATGATGATGCCAAATATGAATACGATTTCCGTGCGACTTGCGACGAGGACACTTGTAAAAGTGTCGAAGGTCATGATCACCTTTTAAATTGAGTTTGAGGACTTTGACTGCTTGGAACGGTGTCTAGCTCTAGACGTTAATTCAAATTTCGATCTCATATCAGTATGTCGTGGATAAACCATCGCAATCATGGCTCAAAATATCAGATTGACACGCTTTTATCTCCTAGTTGAGCTACCTTTTCAAAAAAATAGCAGTGCGTTTGGCACGGAAGAGCGAGAGGCTTTCAGTAGCCAAGGCGTTTGAGTGCTTTTTCGAAGTTTACTCCTTGTCGGAGCAAACAAATGCACTAAGTGAGCTGCAACGGGGCTGCAGTCGGCTTAAATCCGAAGCAATGGCTCTGTGACCCCACGCTAGTTATCACAGCGAGGGTGGTTATTTACGCCCAAACATGGGCGGAAATCGAGAGCCATTTTAAAACTGGGTAGTTTTTACATATGAAGTTTAGATCTAGCTTGAATCAACTAAAACTATGTCTCATCTATCACCTTATCGTCACTTCCATTAGAAATGGTAGAGTAGCAGTCGTCTGTAATCCGAGAACTTCCTGTGGATCGTACCTTTGAATCTGATTGGCGAGAGAGCCGAAAAGCGTCATGTTGATTTAGCGCATTGGGTGAAAATGGCACGCCGTCTCCTCGTCCAACATCTTTGGATGTCAATATGTAGACGCTAGTCTAAGGCTGAACTTAATCAAGTACAAAGCATGACACTGACGTCGAGATGGATGCTCGTTGCCTCAAGCTCTTGTTACTAACCGACGTGCTCCTTCTGAAAAAATATCAGCCAACTCTTGAATTTGAAATATGGATAATCTTTAATCGCCAAAAAGAAACATACTGTGCTGCACATCTGCGCATCTTCTTTTGAGAAGAGTACGACAGTGAGTGCGCGATCAGAACAACATGAAATGCTGGAATGAGAGTATACCTTATTCTTCCCCTTGGTACTGGTTACAGCCCTTGTGAGCCCGTTGCCCCATTTTCCATTGAACGTGAAAGTGAGTTACCTTTTGCTTATTACAAAGCGTGTAACGGATTTTGCTCGTCCGTGTATGCACACTTTCTGAGGAAGGCATAGGTCAACTGACACGCCTCACCGCGTGTTGCTCAGCCGTTGACTTACGTAGAGAGGAGAAAAGGTGAAGCGCCATTTATTATTTTAGCCAATAGGCTTGAAACCTCCCTTACCTTTTAGTTACTTCCAGTTTGATACAACAGAACTGAAAGGGAATATACAACTACACAGGAAGTCAAATTAATTTTAGACACACGAAGAATGTGGTCCACACAATATGTAGAATGGGACCTAGCCCATTCCAGCCTCCCCATTTAAAAGTGGGTTTACCAGAATTCTTAAGCTCTTTTTTAACTTCTCTTCACATTTTTCTTCCGCTCTTCTACACGCTCTGGCCAACTCTCACTAAAGTGACAACTCCCACAACATGAGATCTTTGTTACCATCGAATTTGGATATCGCTTAATTTCTACGTCATTCAGCGCATTTGCGCTTTTACAAAAATTGATCGTCATAACGACTATTACGAAAGACGCGCGACCGCGGACATCCCTCTCCGCCACCACGTTCTCGACGTGGCACGCGGTATTCTTTGTCGATCCAGAAAGGGGGTGCCTGGAGTGGGCGACCCCTCAGCTTCTTCGATGGCTGGTTTATAATCTTCGTCTGTCTTGGAACTGCGTTTGATAAAAGTGGAGAAGATTCATTCGCTGACCAACCAGCGGTTGATCGAGGTGACCGATCGAGTGTCATCGACGCGACACCGTGAATTCCGCAACTCCGCCTGGCGTCATAGAAACTTGCCTGAGGACACAATCCAGAATCGGATCCATCGATCGGGGCAGGTTCTGCAGGCTTTCCCTCTTGGTGCTGCTTGATGCGGAGCCTTCTGCGCTCTGTTTCGGGCGTTCCCGATTATCCTCGTCGTATTGATGGCGTTGCTGAGGTGACGGCGCCAAGGGGTTCAACGCTCGACCTCGAGCCAACCAAAGCCGTGGCTCTAAATCCACCTTCGAATAAGACTGCGTTTCATGCAGGTTGGAAGTCACGTCGTTGCGATGGAAGGGCTTGCGGATCCATACGTAGAACCGGATTCTGGCCAAGTATGGTCGCATCGCTCAATTGGAAGGCGTGAACAATGCGCCAACCACCTGTGCTTAATCCACACAGTAGGTTGGACTACAATGCGGAGACTTATTCTCACGCACATGACCAGCCTTCTGTCGCTGCGCTTAGAACTCGTCAATCACAATGACTTATTTTTTTGGCAACGGCTACTGCCGTGTGATACAATACTTCGTATCAGGAAATATGTCAATCTCATGACGAATGCCTCTGTCAGATGGCAATTCGTCCGGCACCTTGTCTG